GCCAAGGGTGGTCAAGCTAAGACTTGGCACGAGGGTATGAAAACCCTAACCAGGAGTCTGTTCACATAGGTCCTGTTAGGCTTGCTGGTTTGGGGACCTCGGGATGAGCGTAACCGATGGTTAGAGACACTGAGTGATATGGCTGGGTGTCGTAAACAGCGGTGTTCGTGCCTCTTTGCAACTTAAGTCCAATGAAATTTTCAATTTTCTGTTGTGCTCTACTTTCAACTTTCCTGTCTTCCTCCTAATGTTCATCCAAATGGGCAGCCAAAAGACAGCTGCCAACCAAATTAGGAGTGCATCGAAGTACATAGGTAAGGGTTGGACAAACTTGACTGAACTATGATTTGCGAACTGGAGAGCCGTGTTTCCGTGGGGATATTTTTCTCGGGTTATGGAAATTGTCTACCCAAATCCTAGGTCTTGTTAAAATGAGCCACGCTCTTCCGATGAGCTGATATATGGTTTCGATATACCGATACTACTTTTGATTTATCCTTTCACTTAAGCTGATTATGAGATATCCGCAATCCCAGTTTGCGAAATCGGACAATGGCCGCATAAAATTAACTGCTTGCTTCATACAATTGTTTTCGGTTCAATGGCCGACTGTTCCGTTTTCGTAGGAAAATTTTATGTGGGATTGATTTATTCAGTTATTCACAATGTGTTTTTTCGGGTCATTCATATTTCTTCACTCTCAATCTTACGTTTCCTGTATGATTTTGACTTTTTACAAGCCTTTCTATGTTTGGTGGTGTTCGTTTCCCATGGCACATTAGTCATATTTTTCCGCTTGTACCGTCGAATTTACAAAACCAAAAATCTTTTTCGTTATGTCTTCATCAACATCTCAGTAAATAAAATAAACTGCTGTGCCCAACTGACTGGGTATTTCCTTGCTTTGTGATCATGTTTTTTCCAATGGTAATTTTTCGTTTTTCTCGCTACAAGTCTTGAAGTGTAACCTAATCCGTTGTTTAGATGGAACATTATTGGTTGCTTCAGATAACTCCGTGACGGATATTTTTGTTTGAGTTTAGTCTTGACTGCTTCATTCCTTCCATTCCTTCCAGGATGCCTCTCCACCGTCGTTCCGGGATACTCCTCTGGTTGAACCTTCTGATCGTAATCGTTCAATGCGATCAGACTCCACCTCCACCGGCTGAAGTCTTTTGTGTGGATCGGGATTGCGACAAAAGCATCGCTCAAGTTCGCATGGTAAAAGATTTTTCGGCTGACGGAAAGTTACTTGTCTCGCGAGATACCGTAGTTGATATGGTAGCCAAAAGTGCCTTGACGGAAGACTCGCGAGTAAAAATACTACATAACGGGCGCACTCACTACGTGGATGCAACCTTTGTACAGGAAATACAAAATCTCGAGCCAAATAATTTCAAGCGTTTTAGTAATCGTGATGCCAAGTCGTTTGACGGAAACCAGACACCTAGAACGTTGTCACATGTGGAAACTAACTCTGTACCTGTGGAGTCGGAGGAAGTGATGCAGAAGACAAATACTTTTATGGAAAAAGGAACTTCGGAATCAATAACAAATACTGCTCAAGAACCTAAAATCATATCCTTAAACGATTCATCTGAAAATAATGTCAGCACCGAGAAAATAACCAGTTCAAACGCGTCCCAGACAGATCCCATTAAAGTTAATCATCTAACGTCGATTGCAGATGGTAAAGCAGGAAAGATCATATCTGAAGAGCTTGTTCAAAAAACTGATTTTACGATTGAGAACGTCAGTGCTATGCCGGAGCAGCCATCGCAAGCTTCAGTCACGACCCCAGGTGCCTCTGTTTCTACTCCGTCAGCAGATCCGAATATGGGATCCCATCACTTAATTAGTAATGTAGTTAACGCCTCGGAATCGGAAGTCGCATCGAATGTGGCGAATGATGAAACCAAAGAACCTCCGGCCAGTTTCACATATACCGCGGAATATGCACATGAAAAGAATGCTATTGTGGACAGCGGATCTGTAGGTGAAGATATAGGCGTGCATAATTCTGTTCGTCAAGAGGAAAAGTCTCCAGATACAAGTCTTTTAAAAGAGGAATCCAATACCACTTTAGAGATGAGTGATAACTCTGCTTTCTCCGAACCGAATTCGCCGCTACAACTACCCTCATCGACAGAAGCGATGTCCGATACCGGTGCTCTTCAAAATAGTTCTGACACCGAATTTAACAAATCGGAACCTGCCAGAGGCGACATCTCTTCCAAGGTCGAGCTCGACGACATTGACTCCCCGCAGAAAATAGACAACCTACCGACCATTGAACCAGATTCCTTGTCTCCATCACACTCGGTCGACAAACCTGACACGTCTCCAGACGATCAACCTCCATCTGAGCGATCGACGAAAGAGACGTCTTCAATGGAAAACGACCACATTTCTTCAAGACAAAGTAATATTGAACAGAAGTCATCTCAAGGCGAGTCGCCAGAATCTGGAGAGTTAAAAACCGAACAGTCACAAATGCCACCTATGCAGTCTATCTCTGTCGAATCAGACAGGGTGACCTCTTTGCAAGAACAGACCATAAGTGAAGAAGATAAAAATGTCCCCGAGAAGATTACCATCGACTCCTATTTACCAAACTCGCATGAAGATGCACGTAAAAGTCAAGAGAATTTGCACCACAGTGGTGAATCCGTTTCATCTGCAAACGTACATTCCAAACGGAGTTCAGATCGAGATGAATCTATCGTTGGCGAGTCAGCAGGTGCTCATACTCACATACCCTCGACAGAACCAAGCGTTCTTCAGCAGCCACAGGAAACAGACTTTGCCAAAGATATTCGTGATTCTAAAGCAGATCCGAATTTACCGATTGTGGTCGTTAGTAATGATAACTACCCTCGTTTTCCCAGCCTTCTGCAATGTATAGTCTGGGCTGCAAATGGAACACGTGATCGATCTGGTGTGCACAAGTCTGGCGCACCTTTAGCTCGTCTCATGATCAAACTGCACGACCTGGCGGAACTTTTGGTGTCCTATTTACCTTCACCAATGCGGTTTATAACAGAAAAATTCACAAATATGATAGATCTTCCACTAGATTTTGTTGCTATGTGGCTTATTGTTGCTGTAAGCTTATTTGTCGCAAAGAGCATCGCTTCTGTTTTGTTTGGATTAGCTAGACCGCGCGATACTACAAAGCTAGAATATTTCAAGGCGAAGGAGCAAGTGTTACAGTTGTCCAGCCGTCTCTCGGACCAAGAGGAAGCGAACACTCAGTTGACCAAATTAACAGCACAGTTGACTGACAAACTGCAAAATATCCAATCGGAACATAGCGGAAAAGTCGTGAGTTTGCAAAAGTTGGTGGACTCCTCCAAAACAGATCTGTTTGCTGTAGAAAAACAGTTAGCTGAAACACTCGAAAAATGCAACATCTTGGAGCAGGAATTTCAATCACGACTGGCTGAAAAAGAGCAAAACTTACTAACGCTTGATTCGGAACTTTGTCAGCTAAACGAAGAACGTCTAGCCGTCGAAGAGCAGTGGAAGACAAAGCTTACCGAGCTGAATGAGTCACATCAGAAAGCAATGGAGGATGCTAAACGAGAGCACGAAGATCTGTATCACCAAGCCGTGGATTACTATAACCGCATGAAAGCTATGCAACCAGAGATGGACAAATTGATAGAGGCTCGAAAGCAAGCGGAGGATAAAGTTGCCGCATTGCAGACGGAACTAGACAGTTTGCGTACCACATTTACCACCCTCAAGAGCTTCGAGTTAGCACTGGAACAGGAGACGCAACTGATTAATAAAAAATCCAAAAATTGTGTCGAACAATCTGACTACATGTTGATCGAACGATCCGGAGAAAGCGATGTAGATTCTAATAAAAATGATCATGATACGGTTGACGAAATGGGTACCAAACGCTCCCGTTCAGGATCCACGGAATCAGGTGGCTCTGGAAATAATGAAGTTTCTGAAGAAAGTGAACACCATGAGTCAAAATTACGAGCTAATTTGTCACTTTTCTTAGATGTTGGTCGATTACAAGCCGAGTTGACTGCTGCTCAGAGTCGAATCAAGGGTGAAGAGGCTCGAGCTGAATGTGAACATGAGCTGCGCATAAAATTGGAAGAAAAAGTAGAGCAAATCGAACGAGAAAACTCTACTCTTCGAACACAGTGTAGTCAAGCAGAAGAAGAGAAGTCGGCAGCACAGACACGACTAGATATTTTGTCGGCTTACTTCAAAGAACGTGAGTTAGAATTACAACGAGATCTGGGCAAGCATGTTGTAGTTGGGTCTGAATCATCTGACGCCATAAATAGCCTTCGGAAGAGAAATAAAGAACTGGAGGCGGAGCTGAAATCATTGCGTGAACAGGTAAACTCAATGCGCCGGGAACTGAGTGAAACGGAGCGCATTAATCGTCGCCAAATTTCTGAATTAGATAAGAGATCTCACGAAAACTGGTTGGCAGCTCGGGCTGCCGATCATCAAGTCAAAGAGCTTCGCGATGAAAATACACTACTTCGGCAAAAGCTGCTTGACGCCGAGCGAGCCATTCTTCCTCCCGCCCTGAGAACACAACAAATGAATCAAGCAAGGCTTTCTTTTCCTGCGGGGCAATTGCCACCCGGAGTTGCTCCCCGTCCCACACTTCGAAGTTCGTTCACACCTAGCTCCGGGCGCCTTGAGAAACGCTCTTTGTCTGGTCAGTCACTAACGAGTTTGTCCTCGCAGACTTCCATGTCTCGTCCGGAGGTTTCAAATCTTCCGTTCCCGGTTCCACCACCTCCTCCTCCACCACCAATTATAATGCCTCGAAACATGTCACCCGGTGGAATGCAATCATCTGTCCCGCCTTTCATCCCTGGGCTGTCACCTAGCCGGCTCCCATTTCCGCATGGTTTCCCACCACCCCCACCTCCTCCTCCTCCTCCACTTCTGCCTTTACCAGGTAACCTTCAACCTCAGTTAAGTCCTAGTTCTTCAGCTGTTGATTCATCAGTCAGTCGGGCACCCTCGTGATTGATTGTGATATACCCTTGTTTTTTTGTACATATGCAGATTAGCCGCTGTCACATGGTTTCTTGTCAGGGTAACTCTCAGATGTGTCTAATATCCTGGGGCACACAGACTGTTCTTTGGGTTCTTAGTTCGGTTTACTTTCTCCGAATGTTTTTCGGCTTTTCCTCGTCATGGTCGAACTTGATAAGTGAGTGCTTGGCCTTCATCTTTGGGTGTTCTCGGTGTCGTTCTCGTTTTTGTTGTCGTTTTCAGCCATCACTTCTAATTTCCCCATTCCCTCATATCGTTTCCTGATATTGTACACGCCCAGAATTACTGTCGTTTGGTGTGTTCTTTTGAAGTGAAGAAAGTATACAATCTCTCTTGATCTGTCTCTCACTCGTTTTGTAAGCTGAAACCGTACCAGAGGAACTGCAGAAATTGTATTTCCGCAAGATTTCGAAGTTTGTCTAACTTAACGTAAGGACCATCAAAGCAAAGCGTTTGCGCTGGTGACATCCTTGACGAAGAAAGCTCGCAGCGACCTATCGAGGTATCTTTCAAGGTTTTTCTCTGACGTGTCACATACAATGGTTGGTATAAAACAAACATTCGAATAAATAAATACTTTGTTCACAGGAACAGCGCAGCATGGAGAAGCAATAGCATTATAAAAGTGTCGCGACTTTTTTTCGTAAGTAGAGAGGTGGTCCAGGTTGTGCGTACTGCAACCTCTTTTTCTATCAATTCAGCTGCAAATATAAGCAGATAGCACATGCTGTCGACGATAGCCTAACGCAGTTTGCCTCAACGTTCGCGAGTTCCATATTAAGCGGTACGGTTATCACTGGTGAGGTGAGAAGACCGGGACGCTTAACTAACGTTTTACTTAGCGGCACCTGCGGGAAAAGGTTTACACGTACAACAGGACTGAGTGACAAGTGGCGGATCCGCCGCTGTGTCTCGTGGGTCGTGGAAGACCCATAGACTAAAGGTGAAAACAGAATGTTGCTACACAGCCCTCTGCCCGCTCTAGAAGGCTAGCAAAGAAAAGTCCTCGAGTCCAGTTCTTGACGTGTTGGCAGAAGTGTACTTTTGTTCACCATTGGGAGAAGGTGACGGAATAAAAATTGTTACTCGGAAAGATTGGGATACAGGTCGAACTACCCGGTTGATGGGCATAAATCAAAGTGAATAGACCCGGGGGATATTTAAAAGATTGTTGCATTGCCATGAAAATAGCGAATGATCAACCATAGGTCATTGTGATATTTTTCACAACTCTCCTTTTTGTTGCAAGGATCCACTGTTCTCGTTGAAGTGTATCTTCTTCGGTGTGCACAGAGCCATCTATCGATGGCTCGTTCCTTGAAAAAAAAATGACCAAGGCAAGTTGGGAGAAAGGATAAAACTGGTCAAGACCCTGCACATGCGGAGGATGTAGGGTCAACAAGTATGTAATGCACTTACAATGAACTCTTTAGAAATTATTTGTTGTGTATCAGTGATACGAATCCAAGATCCTAGTAGAATAAGCCACCTGAGTGCGCCCGGTCTGTCCTCGTGTTATCGGAGAGGATGCAGCCCGCTCATTGGGTGATCCTGAAATAGGCATGGTACTGAACGATAAAGCCAAGGCCTCACTAATTGATTGGATGCCTGTCCATGGTCGTATTTGTGTGGTGAAGCTCCAGGGTTCAATGTTTGTTCACAAGAGAGGCAAAACTAGATGGAGTTTGCTCATGATTTCGGCCTGTGCACCAATCAACTATAGCCCCAATTCGCAAAAGGATGAATTTTATGACAAACTCCGGAACCCCTTCGGTTGAACCGGAGCTTTGATATTATAGTGATAGCATGTGACTTTAACGCGCAAGTTGGAAAACATCGCATCCGAAACCTATCTAGGGGGGGGGGGGGGGCACTTCCTTCTCCCCGTCAAGCGAACAGACAACGATGATCAGGTACTTCTGTTCGGCATAGGTCATCAGTTGTTCTTATGTAGCACCAACTTTCGACACCGTTCTTGTCGAGCGGCAGCATGGTATTCTAGTCTCATACGTAATTTGACTTTAATTGATCACAAAGCAGTAAGCTTTCGTGTGGCTCAGTACAAAATTATAGATCCTCTTGGACCACCTGCATTGAGTCTGATCACGCACTGGTTCTGATGCGCTTCACGCTTCAACACATCATCGGCATAACAGCCTCCCCGATTAGCGCATTATCGTCCTTGTCGCCTAGCTGTTTGAAAACGTTAATAGGAGAAGACTGACCAGGAGCTGGGGGCACCGTGTCGTCTCGGAGTTGATTTGTTGTGGAATCAAAATAGATTTTTGATGCACTCAGCGGCAAACTTTGCTTGTGGGTCCGAGCCCGAAGTTCACCGAAGGCATTGGATATCTCAAGAGTCAGTAATCCTGATGGATCAAAAGCAAAAGATCCCAATCTGACAAGACCACCATAGGAAACATTGGCGTCCGAAACGTCATCTCATGAAAAGCCTTGAAAAAGATAGCGAAACCTGGAGGACCGAAATAGCTGCTGAAACAGAAGTAGCCTCTACATCTGGGTACAGTTACAAACTGCTTCACCTGATACGCAGCGCCGGAGGTCGTCGCATACCGGTCAGTGAGACCATTTGTGATTAAATTGGATAGAGTATCTGCAATAAAGAAGGATCGCTGGGCAGAGTATTTTAGTGAACAGTTCAACTGGTTTGGTGCTAGTGCAGTTATTCTTGCGATTGCTGCTCGAACTTCGTGGGCGGCGATGAATAAGCCTCCGAGAGAACTGAGCAGAAAACCGCATTCAGTCGTCAGAGAAGGGACAGGCAACGGGGACCCTAGGGGTTTCCTATTCTGTTTAAGCTACGAGCGGCACCTGTCGACTAGCTTACTAGTTTACTTCGCAGATTTTGGTCGGAGAGAGCGTATTTCTTCAACCTGGGGTGAGTCGTTGATCGTTCCGATCTTCCAGATGGGGTCACATAACGAGTACGTGAACCATCGTGGGATGAGTTGAGTTCCATTCATCACAAAAGTGTTAATTTCCGTGATGCATGGTATGCTTGATACCCTTAAGGGAGATGAATATTTGCTAACACCAAGCAGGATTCAGACCAGGTTGCCGTTGCATCGACCGAAGTTTTGCTCTGTGTCAGGTTCTAGAGTTGCACCACAATTATTGTCGACCAACAAGCGCAGTGGTCCTCTTCCTCAAAGTAGCCCTATTTTGCCATTGTCAAGTTCCTCGTAGACGAATTACCGGAGAACGCTTCTAAATGTTCTTACTGAATGGGCACCTGCAGTAGAGCTGTGCGGACTAGAGCGCACTGGCATTATCATTTGTCTGATGGAGTGTATAGAGAACGGGCAAAGCACTCCTGTCAGACTTTCAAGTTCTGTCACTCCGTTCGGTATGCACTTTGCACCTTCAAAGTGTAAAGTGATGCTGCAAGACTGGATGTTTCAGTGCAGCCAGTTCTACCTAATAGTTGTGAGACCCGTAATTTGTGAGTAGATGACTCGACTTGACTAGAATTTTTCGGCTATCGATGCTTTCTTAGTTTGGCGCACGCGGGATGGCCTGAACATATTAGCAACCTAGAGGTAAGCCGTCGTATGTATGAGAATTTAAAGAGGAAAAACTTTCCTGTCACATCGAATTCAGATGAGTAGGTTGCGATGGTTAGGACAAGTGTTTCGCATGCTTAATGGTCGTTCACCGCACCGCGCCCTG